TTGAAGATTAAAAAAAAAAAAAAAGGCTTGAAGATAAACAAGCAGCCATCTAGCTCAGAAGCCCACATGGAAGAAGCACACCAGCCTGCGTGATCACGAGGTGTTGAAGGGATCAGGTATCAGGCATCAAAGAACAAAAATTATATCATTGTGAATGACATGTAGGACATGACAAAACAATAATAATTTATAAATTATCAAGGGTTCATGAGGGGGGTCATGGGAGGGAGGGGGGAAATGAGGAGCTGATACCAAGGGCTCAAGTAGAGGCAAATGTTTGGAGAATGATGATGGCAACAGATGTACAAGTGTGCTTCACACAACGGGTGGGTGGATGGACTGTGATGAGGGTTGTAAGAGCCCAGTGAAATGATTGTAAGAAGAAGCACAAAGGGCAACAACGGAAGCACTGCTTGTAGCTGGACACATGAGGCCAGCCTGTGATCAGAACCGTCCTTGTAATGGGGTGATGGTGACAGCTCTGATGGAGGGCATTCCCAAACAAACGCACCCACTGCCCATGAGCCAATTCTGACTCATAGTGACCCCATCGTACAAGGCATCATTGGCCCCTTTGCATTTTCAGGGCCATAAATCTTTATGGGAGCAGAAAACCCCGTCTTTTTCTCTTGGGGTGGCTGCTGCTTTGAGGCTGCTGGCCTTGTGGTTTGCACCCCAAATGGAACCCACTGTGCCACCAGGGCTCCAGTAGAGGCCCTCAGAGTGTGCACAGAGCAAGTTAGTAGAGAACTCAGGCCTTGTAGGTATAGCATCACATGTAAAGTGGGCTCACAGAAATAAATGCCTGTTTGTTGTTATAACTACCTATGGGACTATTTTTATTAAAAATATGAAATTTCTGTTGAAATACTGCACAAAGACTTTATAGTCATTTCAGTGCCATCCCTCTGCTAGTGCCACCTGGGCCCTCAGGACCCCTTCTGGTGGTCACTCAGGACCACACGGAGTATTTTTGGAAGAGGCACGTGAATTGTGTGCGGAATTATTGGTGTTTGAGCACTGACTGGACGCCTTCCTCTGCAATAGGGTAGTAGCGGAGAGGACCACTGTCCAGAGTGCAGCCATCACTGTACTCGCTGAAGTGCCGTCATCTCAGTGTGCACGTGTGTGTTCCAGTGCGCATGTCAGCTGGAGGCATTTTGGAAACGTTCACAAAGTGCGGGAAAGCGGAGCAGAAAGGGCTGTAAACCAACGAAACAAAGCATGTACTTTCTCGGAGAAAAGACCTTCAGCAGCCACCACCTTCACCCTTCCGTCCTACCTCCAGCACCGGAGACTCTATGTCATTGACCTTTATTTATGCTCTTTTATTATTTCTCTGTCTTTGACCTCTGGCTCCTGGTTATAGGATAGCCAAATAAGTAGCTTCCTCAGTCCC